AATGACTTGTGAATGGTAACTTTGTTAGTCCCCGTTCAGACTTATGGTTTGCCCTGTGTGCGTCCGTGATCACCTGTATCTCAAACATGCATGGACCGATTAAGTTCAAACTTCACTCATACATCACACATTATATGGGACATATGCACATGCATTTTTTTCATGATCCGATTATCGATAGCCGAATAGCGGCCATTATAAGGCCGAAAATGCATCAAAATCGCACATTTTCACCATTCCGGACCCGGATCTCAGTTATGCATGGACGGATTTTGTTCAAATTTGGTACATACATTAAACATAATAGGACCTTGATGCACGTCATTTTTTTTTTTTGGATCGGGTTTGAAATGGTCGACTGGCGGCCATTTTGTTTTAAAGAATTCAGTTCTGGATTCGTATCTGAGACATGGCTGGATTGATCGAGTTCAAACTTCACACACACATGGTACATCATGTCACAAATAGATATGTGCATTTGTTTCATGATTCGCTTAATAATAGCTGAATGATGGCCATTTTAAGGCCGAAAATGCATCAAAATCACGTATTTTCACAATTCCGGAACCGACTCTCAGTCATGCATGGATGGATTTTGTTCAGATTTAGTACAATGTGTTGTACATATGCTTTGAATGTATATGTCACTCAAATATGAACGGAACAGGGACGTGTCATTGACAATGACTTGTTAATCACAATGTTACTATTGTTCCCAATTAGAGAGAGCCAGAAAACCCTTTAACAGAAGAGATTATTGGAGAAAGTTTGTCTTTACTTTGTAAGACTGGAAATGGTTTGGCACATGCTTATGTTAAGTTGGATATTCATGATAAGTAAGTCATCTATAATAATTAAGACCTAATGTCAAATACATGTAAAATGTATATAAAATATAACTAAACTATATTACACTGATTACAAAGCAGCTGTATGTCTGATTCCAGGGCAGTTTGAGCCAAATTCAAATTTCGTATTACTGAGTGTCTTACTGCACATATTACACTGGAAACTCACTAAATTTTATGTAATTTTTTTGAAATCTTTTCATAATGAAGATTCATGTTGATTTTCATCTCATATCACCAACAAAATTTTGAGATATGAAAAATTAATTTCACTATAGACTGTTAGTAAAAATGTATAAAAATACCAGTTTTGACCATTTTTCATAAACATTTTTTCAGTACTCGTTCGGACATATCCAGAAAACTTAAAATTGTTTCATGATATAATTCAAGATGGCCAAATGGCAGCCATTTTATTTTTAGTGCTAAAATCATCAAAATCAAAGCATTTCTGTCATTCCAGAACCGGATTTCAGTCATGCATAGACATATTTCATATTTTGAACACATTCAAACTTGACATATACATTAAATCATACATAAGCACATGCATTTGTTTCATGATGCAATTTAAGATGGCCGGATAGTGGTCATTTTAGTGTTAAAAATTCTTAAAAATCAATCTTTTATGTCATTTTGAATAAGGATCTCGGTCATGCATGATCAACATATTTTATTCAAACTTGGTATGTCCATTAAACATAATGGGTTCTTGATGCTCTCATTTTTCAGAATGGATTGTTTTAAAAAAATGCTATTTTTGCTAATATGGCTCAACTGATCATATTCAAATTTTACACATACATCATGTTTTACATTTACACATGCATCGGAATATGATTCAAGATGACTCATTGTTTTTGTGCTAGAAATGCATTATGAATGTCATGGACAAAACACAGGAACATCACTTATTACTCTTGTATCTCAAAATTTTTCAGTGACCACAATTTTCTTGATCATAATGGCATGAACCCATAAGTTACAGCAAGTAATATTATTAATCACTGCATGTAATTTCAGTAAATTTGTTTAACTACTCATTTTTTGGGATAGTTTTAGGCTATTGCACTGTCACCTCATTTGTTTACATTTTGCCAACCAGCATGTTAATGTCTGATGACGAATGTTGTTTACCGGTCAGTACTGGCTTGCGATCTGCTATGACAACAACATGTATATTATTTCATCAACTAACTACGCTTACATTTACACTTATATTTACAAACAACAGTAGTGATCAACTCCACCATTTATCTTTTGAAATGAGCGACCATTTCTTGCTAACCAGTGACTGCACACACACACATTGTGTAAGCAAGTACATCCTTATATAGGCTGTTGTGCTTGTTTTGCATGCATACATGTGCACAGTGACTTGTTGGCAAGAATCGGTCATTCATATCTGAAGATAAAATAATTGTTCATTGTTGTTGATATTAGATATACACATATGTGTCCCTGTTAATGAAACAACTTGCTAAAAACATTGTCACAGCAATTTATTGCTGATTGGTGAGTGACATTCTTTATCAGACATTCAACACTGGTTGGCATAAAATGATGTCACAGTGCAATGGTATATAGAGCCTCACTGTAGTTTGATCTTACTGTATCATTTTTCTTTTTACTTTCAGGGAATTGTCTGACATCAGTTTACTAAGTAGTTTTATTCATCTCCGCTATGTTGATATTACTCAAAATAAAATCCGTGACATTTCACCGCTGAATTCACTGACTCATTTATTGACACTGAAATGTGATAGGAATTTATTAACGTCAGCGAAATTAGACGAGTTACCTTACTTACAAACAGCCAGTCTTGCAAGTAATGCAATTACCTCAACAGAAGGGGTCAATCATCCACTTCTTGAAACTCTTATTTTATCATGTAAGTTATTTATTTTGTCATCTTTCACAAAATTATGTCTAGTTAAAAAAACTTTTAGAAAAACAATATGCAGCTTGTTGCACCACAATTTGGAGGGGACAGTTATCGCAACTTTTTAATTTGGTTTTACACATGTTGAAGTAACTATGCATCTTAAAGACTTTCATCAAAATTTGGTGTACATGACAACTTTAAGACTTTTTTTTTCATTTTTCCCCATATTAATCAGACTATGTATAAGCACATTGTTTCCATGTCTATTTCAGTTAATGAAATAACAGTTATTAGAGGTCTTGAGCCGAGCAAATTAGGACGACTACATACATTAGAATTACGTGGTAATAAATTAGAATCAACAGATGGGATACATCTTCCAAATCTTAAAAGTCTGTTTTTGGTAAGTTATAAGATGATGAGAGACATGTCAATACCATCAATCAAGAATTCATGGGACAATTGAGACATAAACCCTTCATCTGTAGAAAGTGGTGTGAATCATTGAATAGATATAGCTGTGTAAACACTGATAATAATAATACTTAGGTTTGTTGCCTTTCTGATCAGTTGGTCTTTAGTTCAAATCTTTTATTAATGAAATGGCCCCTCAAGTGAGTGGACCACAGACTCTAGATTCATTCAGAAAGTCAATCTATAAGAAATCATGATTATGCTTATGCTTGTGTTAGGCTGGGCCTGATTGCTGTTGTAATATACCGGTAAATGCATTTTATTGCCAGTATTGGAAAAATGGTCACATCTTTCTCTCATGTAGTCCCAGGCAAGAAACATGGTTTCTGTGATAAAACTCACTGTATACACTTTGTATCACTGTGTATGTTATTGTTTTTTTATAAACTAGCCTTGCATATAGGATTAATTTACTGATATGTATTATTGAGGGCACCAAGGCAAACAGATTTGGCATCAAGGTGATGTGATGTTCAAACCAGACATATAATCATACTATGTATATTTGTTTCACAGGCATCAAATACAATTAAAAAACTTGAGGGATTAGAAAGATTAGAACATCTGACAACGCTTCATCTCCGTGACAACCAAATAGATAAATTGGATGGATTTTCCGAAAATATGAAAAACCTGCAATATGTGAATCTGCGAGGTAATAATATCTCAGACGTGAAGGAGACATCTAAGTTGAAGTGCTTGCCATTGTTACGAGCTCTCGTGATCAGTGGTAAGTATATTCAGGTGTGACTTATCACTACATGTTTAGATAGCCAAGTGTACATATGAGTGTCTCAATAATCTGCAATGAATACTTTTCTCCTATATATCTGTTGTGGCGTCACAGTAAGCATTGTCTTAGCACAAACCTGTGTCATATGATGTCTTATTAGCCAAAAGGCCAAAATAGCACTCCACCACCTTTTCACACTAGTGTTGTGGTTGGGTTTGGTTGGCCACATTCCAACTTGAGTAGGATTTCAGCGGAATTTGAACTTGAACTCTCACGAATCAATTGATAACATGAACTGCATTTATTTGCGAACGAAACTCTTCAACAAACTGATAAATACATAAACTTGTAGAACTGACACACCGTTTAACTTTTAAAAGTGAAATAGAACATTAACCAATCAGTGACTGTGTTTTGAATCAATAATGGAATGTCAGTCAACACCTGTGGCTTATTATGGTTTCAACGATAAGTGTGTTTATACACAGAACTTGATATTTCTTTTTATAACTTAAGTTGCATTTTAATCACTTATTTTAGTGAAATATTGTTTCGTGAGTGAAATATTAATATCATACATAATTCAATCTTTGGAACAGTAGAAACTAAGACATATTAATGATCATCAAATTTGTGTTTCAAGTACGAATTTTCCTGCATAATTTAAGGTTTCAACTACTGGTAATTTGAAATAGAGCATCATTGATCGCAATAAAATAACGTGCAGAGTCCCATTTGAAACAGGAACTAGCAGCGTAACTGATTGCAGATTTATGCAATTTTAGAGCCAGCTTACTTCTACAATGTTTCTGAGTTTCATTTATTACTATTTAGTAAAGAAATCACTGAATCTGTGCCAACCGACAATTGACTTCAAAACGTTTCAAACAAACTCCCGGCACTCCTTGCTGACCTGCAGCTTCAATGCTGATATACCCCAATGTATAAAATATGTGATCTCTATTGCTGTATTGATCTGAATTGATTAGTTGTGGAGATTAGATCAATGCAATTATTGGCATCTAGCAATATAACTATTGTTTTTTAACAATATAATCTACTGAATGTATAAAAGGTTACTAATATAAATTACTAATAAAACATAATATGACATGCATTGCTGTCTAAACATATCAACAAATGTATTATAAACTTAAAGTGCTGTGTTCAACATAGGACTTATAGTAATGTATACAAATCATGTCAAATACATTACTTATTTACATAAAATTTGAATGAATGCTGTGTGCAACTGTAGTGCTGTAAATAAAATTACCATATTGAAACAATTGTGTCAAATTTTGATGTAATAAAATGAAGCTCATTTCAGTAATTAGTCCCCGTTTGGACGCAGTCCGAAAACAGGGACTTATGTTTTGACTTCCATACGTTCATGTGTGCGTCCGGACATGTATCTTAGAAATGCCTGGACCAATCAAAATCAAACTTCACACATACATCATACATGATATTATACATATGCACATCAATTTTTTGTCACGATCTGATTCAAGATGGCCGAATGGCGGCCATTTTTGTTCTATAAATCGTCAAAATCAAGCATTTCTTGGCTGTTTACAGATGAATTTTGTTCAAACTTGGTATATACGGTGGACATTATAGGACCTTGATGCACATCATTTTGTTTTTTCAGATAAGATTCACAATGGCCGATTGGCAGCCATTTTGTCTTAATAAATGTGGTTCTAGTGCCATATCTCTGACTTGCTTTGACTGACTATGTTCAAATTTTATATATTCATTATACATGAATTCAAAATGGCTGATTTTGTTTTAATTAATGCTGTTCCAGAGCAATATCTCTCAATACTCGTTTGACAATCAGATACAAATGTGAATCATTTAAATGTTAAACAATCATCATAATCATATTCCTGACATGTTTATATTCCAGCTATATTGCTATAAACAAAACTATATATTTTAAATTTGATAACTAACAGGGACTGTGGTTTTTACTGGATAATATTTTTACCCTTATCTATAAAAATAAACATGAAAATAACAATTGCTAATTGAATACAATTCTTTATTAGAAAATCCATGCAGCGATGAGGATGACTACCGTATGGAAGTATTGATTCAGTTACGTAGGATAGAAAGACTGGATAAAGATGAATACAATGATGAAGAGAGGCAAGAAGCTGAAGATATTTATGAACAAAGACGACTAGAAGAAGCACAACAAGAAGTAAGTTTTTCGAATAATGAGGTCATTCACCCCAAATAGATCATTCCGTGATAGTTCATATATTTAGTCATGTAATAATTTTAGTCTGTGATACATGTATTTGGCATTAAAACTTAGTTTACACAACTGTAAATTAATTATTCACTGGATTTTAATTTCAATATTTTTGCTGGTAAGTGAAATCAGCAAGATTCAATTCAATTTCATGATTTGTAAATTTAAAATCCATTGAATATGCTCAAAATATCAAAATTAAATATTAACATTAATGGTTTTACAGTATTATTGGTTGTCATGTTTTGTGTTATCATTATAACATGTTTCTTGAGGATTGGAATGATTGCAGCATGATTTAATAACCAATATAAATCTATCTTGTATTGTCACCATGCTATTGTATCTTGCAGTGTTTTAGTTCTATATAGTGAACAATACACCACGTTTTATTTTAGGTAGAAATTGCCAATATGGAGAAAAAAAACTCTTTGGAACATGTTCCAAAAAGCACAACGGTAAACGTTACGGTTTCATTTCATTTGTACATAATCATTAAAGTAAACACTTTCAGTTTTTGTAGAAATCTGTAGAGAAAATGTGAAAACTAACATTTAGCTGATGATAAAATATTCTTTAAATGAATTGAATTAACTACCGGTAAATTTGAAAGCCCATAATGGGCACAGTGCTACTCTGGTTCTAGGACAAAGGGTTCTTCATCCTTAACTTTAAAAACATGTACACACTGTTTGTTGGTCCAATACAACATTGACTCTGGTGGTCCATGTACCAGACAGGTTCCAGTATGTATACACTATATGTGGGTCCAGTGAGACATTGACTCTGAGGGTCCATGTACCAGACAGGTTCCAGTATGTACCATTACACAGTATATATGGGTCCAGTGCGACATTGTT